TTCCTTTGTCCTTTTTTGAGGACTTAAATATCTTTTCCACATGCATTTAACTAATTTTGCACAGTTTCTTTAAATTCTTCTTTACTACAATATCATATTTTTTTAACTCTTTCATGAGATTGAAAATTGATCACTTAATACTATCATCTTCTCTGTTATTATAAACACCGATTTCATCATTGGAATTCATAGTCACCATAATTACATTTTCTTTCCAACATTTCATTAAAACTTTAAACTTTCAATATATTCTCAAATATTCTTATTATTGCTTGTTGTACCTTTGAATTCAAAAGAGGAATGTCATTGCTTTTAAACAACTCATCTCCATGAACGCTACAATTATTTTCTATGAATTTTTTAGAGTCATTTGAAATATTATACTCACAGTCCTCATCCTTATCATCATCGGAACTATCCTTTCATCTATCTCTACATTTTTATCCTCTTCCTCAACATTTTCCAGTTCAATACAAATAATTTCAGTCAAATCACAAAAGAGTTGTGAGAAGTTTGTATCATCAAATCATTCAGACTCAACTTCATATAGTTTGATATTTTTTTTATTTGTCTCATCTGATCATTATTCTCATATGCACTTTTAAAAAAGCAATATATACAAAAATTTAACGTAACATGAAAAAAAAAAACTAAAACATAACTAAAAACACTTGCAACAAATAAACTTGCCCTCTCAAGGCTTTCACATTAATAGTTGATGACCTTTTTTTTTCTTTTGACAGTCTTCAATGGTCACCTCTATATCAAAAAGTGGTCTAAATCTCATGGTATTCACAAATCAAATTGAAAAAAAATATATTAAAATAACTCATACATGTACTCCTCGATAAACAATCATTGAAGACTGTCAAAATCATCTGATCATAGTGTATCATCATTTTCTTTTTTTGCAGCTAATGCTAGTGCAAGTCAAGGGCATTAGTTTATGCAAGTTATTTCAATCATGATTGTTATCTCCTCTATTAGTCATTTTTGCAATTAACGGCCACATATCGCTCTCACATTGAAATAACTTGCATAAACTAATGCCCTAGACTTGCACTAGCATTAGCTGCAAAAAAAGAAAATGAAGGGCATTAGTTTATGCAAGTTATTTCAATCATGATTGTTATCTCCTCTATTAGTCATTTTTGCAATTAACGGCCACATATCGCTCTCACATTGAAATAACTTGCATAAACTAATGCCCTAGACTTGCACTAGCATTAGCTGCAAAAAAAGAAAATGACCAAGTCTAACTCTCGTTTACTTGCACGGTACGGGATTGTTAGTAGCAAGAATCGAGAAGAATTTAACCAGGAGTTAGCTCTTATAAAATAACAAAAAACGACAACTTTAAATCCAACATAAACTAAAATTTTATTTCTTCTTCGTTTTGCTTTAATTCTGATTAAAACCAAATTATGTAAGGGGGTGGAAGGAAAGACAATATTATTTTCTTCTTTGATGAAAGCCTCCTCTCCTTCGCATGCTTATGGTCATGTCCATGTCTGCTCTAATTGGCTCCGATAGCAGCATCTCCATATCAAACCCATGTGGGTAAAAGCGGAACTTTCGTCGTGTGCATGTTGAAGCCAAGTAGCGGTTGAACCAGCAAAGCAAAGAATATTCAGGTGCGACGCAACAACAAAGGTCGCATTAGTGAAATAGACAGGGCAACTAAAGTCCAAGGCCGCAAAGTGACGAAGTAGCGAGTTCGGGTGGTTTTCGTGAATATAAATTTATAATATGATCAAATTAACCTCAATCAATGGAGCCCATCTCTATTAAATTAAACAAAAATATGACTTAGAACTAATTGGATCAATTTCCAATGATATGGGACTAAATTAAAGCGTTATAAAACCCCAAAACTAAATTGCCTACTTGCTGATAGTCAGGGGACTATTTTAGGCATTAACTCTCAAAACGGGTGATAAAGTTAAACCATAACATCAGCTAGTTACTTTTTTGTATTACATCTTAGCTAAGAAGCTATATTTGCAAGCATGACATGTACTAGGCAAGAATAGTATCATTTGCAAGTTATGCATTATTTAATTTGAACGATCGTGTACCCCATAAAGCATTCAAACAAACAAACCAAACGAAGTGATGTGTCATACTTTTTCATCCTTCGTGCAAGGATCATTGTTTTACGCATAATTGTGAACAAATAATTTTTTAGAATTTTATAGACAATTCTCTTCTTTCATATAAAATTATGTAAGCTTATATGAGCCTATTTTGAAAACTGAAAGCAGGAAATAGATGAGCACTAGGGATGCCAGAAGTTTGCTAACTGTTAGAAACAAAATCGCAACATCAGATCCCTACTTCTGCCCCATGGATACGCTTCATTTAATCTCACGAGGGCAATATAGAAAGCCACATTAACAAATCCTACCACTAAAAGATTGAAAAAGTTGTCACTGTCAGACTGCTAATGTACTTTGCATTCTAGTATAAGGCAGACTGCAAAAAAAAATGGGCCTGTTTGGTAACAAAGCGTTCAGATTAAATTAGAGTAAACATGATTAACAAAAAAATAAGAAGCATAATGATTTCCCAGAACACAACTAGCTCATGAATAAAATGAAAGCTAAATTAGCCGCCTAAGTAGGCATGAGCTATAAAGCTTTTTTACCATAAGCCAAATAACAACACATTGATGAAAACCAACATAGCTAAGATGATGACATAAGAACAGAATAATAAATGACCAAGAAAAAGTCAAAGTTCATATGGAAACAAGATTCAAATTACCACCATATTTCTTCTTCAAGTGACAGCACAGAAAAATACCAAAATATTAGCATACCTATATATAAAGTTGGAATCAACAATAAACAAGTCATAAAACAATTTATTTAATCACAAAAATCATGTTGAATGAAAAAAAAAAGGGCATTACATACATACCACCAAATTTATATGTATTTACATATCTAACACCAAAATTAAACCCTTTACATTTATACCACCCAAATCATTCACATCACATCAAAAAATACCATCATTTTAACTTATAAAAAGTGAAATACACCTTTTCATACATAGGTAAGTTGGCATGTATGGAAATTGAAGTTTGTGTTAGATATGTAAATATAAACGAATTGAGCAGTATGTATGCAAATCTTCCAAAAAACAATAGGAAGAAAATTACTTGCTCGACAGTTGCCCTGTCTGCTTTCTCCGTGTTTTTTGTCCTCCCTATGGCAGAGTCCCGCACAGTGTCCCGGATAGCAGTTGCTACTGCATTTGACATGCCCACATTCATCCTACCCTCCCATTCCTGAATTAATGTCAGCCCATAAACAAACACCCGAAAGTAAAGATATAAAAAAAGCAAAACGTGGTCACAAGAAACAATTGAAAGAAAATCATTAATTTGAACTCGTTGCACCAACGAGAAAAAAATAGATGTATTTTAAAATCCCTAATCTATGGATATAGAACAAAACATCCAGCGGTACCTCCAAAGGGTTAGCTCGGATGTGAGAGGCGAACTTCTGACTGCGGTTGGAAAGAGGTTGCAGGGGGCGAGAGAGAAGGCCACCTCGGGCATTAGGGCGCCGCGCCGCTGAGACGGAGAAGGATGTACCCCCTATGCCGTCACCCTCGGTGCCCTCTTTTGAATCTAACCAATCCAACACATCACCCACCTCCGACTCGGATGACCAGGAATCTTCTTCTTCGTCGTATTCCTCGTCCACTTCATAATTTCCATGTTGCTCAACTTCCGTGCATACAGATGGCTCCTCAAGCGCCATGGCTTATCTGGAGATGAAGGAACAGAAAACCACCGGGGGTGTTTGTAGCAGGATTTAAACAGAAATCAATCTATGGCAGCCGGTTTTACACAGGATTTAGACTAAATCCTGCCAAACGGCAAAAACCACCACCGTAAATCCTGAGCTCCCGTAAATCCTAAAATGATGCCAATTCATACGATACAAATTCGGGATTTACTGAATCCTATGAATCGGCCGATTTAGTAAATCCGGGACGAGCGAAGAGGAAGAATGGCGCGAACAGGCTTACCTTCCTCAATGGTTTCTGGCAGGAGCGGACCGGAGGCATGAGAAGATGGCAGTTTCGGTGGTAGCTATAAGCCGCGATCCCGTCGTTGCCTTCCCAGCTAAGCTATCATGGCGGCTGTGTAGCGAAGGTTCGCTCACGAAGAAGTAGATGGCTTTGGGCGAAACCGGGAACAGAAGCAAGGGTTTTGGGCAAATGGGCAGTTTGGGAAAGCGGGAGAGGTAGAGGTTCTGGCGAAGGGAAAAAAATTTGGATTGCATGCGGACTCTGGATGCTGGGTGTCCGATCATGATCTACGGTGAGGATGAGGATGTATTTTAGTAGATCTCTTTTTTTTCTTTTTTTTTTTCAAAAAAAATTTAAATTGTATTCTTATTGTAGATCACTGTAATATACGGTATATATCGGCATGCGGTGTCTGTATGTAATAATTTTTTCCTGACCGAGGGTTTTTTTTTTAATTTATATTGTTTAACAATAATAAATAAATTTTCTCTTTAACGCTAATGTTTACCCTTATAAATTCTGTTTGATAAAAAATACAAATTAATTCTGTAATAAAATAGGTGTTACATGAGAGATAAAATTGCATCAAAGTCCGAATGCGATAGACCCCAATTCTTTTTATTTTTCTTAGGAAGTATCGCGTCTGTTGTCCGAACGTACTTTTTTTGTTATAGAGTCGAGTTACTGCATGTGAATACTAGACGTAATATTTTTTCGTTATAAGGGCGGGACGGTCGGTATTTGGATAAGGTTTTTATGGGAAAATTTCTTAATATACATAAGATTTTTATATATTAACGTATCGAAAATCTAATCATTCATATTTACGTGCATAGCGCTTAAATCATTGACATTATATAAAAATCATCACCATCATTATTGTTTTAAGGTTAAGTGTGATTTTTTACCCATAAACTTATGACATCAAAATGTTAGAAGCGTTAATATCAAACTTTGGGTATTTGATATGTGAATAAATAAGAACTGTGTGATATGTAATGTTGCTTTTTTTAAAATACAATGTAAATTAATTAAATCTTAATTTAATTTAATTTTTTAAAAAAACTAAAGAACCTTAAATTTAATTAATTTTATAGTTTATTAAATAATAAATACGAGAATATTACAGAATTGATGTTTTTTTAATGATTTAATTTATTTTAGTTATTATTTAATTAATTTTACTGCAATTAGTATAACCTGATAAATAATTAGTTTATGATTAATTAATAATTTGAATTAACAAAATATAGTTTAATTACTTTAATTAAATACTAATAAATGATTATATAGCTTAATAAATAATTATTTATTTATTTATCAATGAGAATTACAATATTGATTAATGCTTCCTTAGTCTCACAAAATTCATATTACTACTGATTAGCTCAGTAAATAGGTAATTAATTATTAATGTAATTTAAATAATAGAATATTAAATTACTTAAAATTAATTTGATTAATAATAGAATTAATAAAGCTTATGATTTATTAGAATTTGAATAACTTAATCATGATGTTTGGTAAGTAAAACATAAATTTTGATGAAAATTTTGGGGATTCATAACATTAAACTTAGTCTGCAATGACCTAACTCATCTTCTCCTTCACACTCGCTGGTCACGACAATGCTTTTACATGCAAAGCACTCGAACATTGCTTTTGCAAAACTAGCTCCCAGGAAATTTTTTGAATTACCAAATTTAAGCTTCATGATCAAGTCATTGGGAATTTGATAAAAAATAAAAAGATATATGTTGGGATTTTATATTGAATTTTGATATTTGAGAGAGAGTTTAAAAAATGGATGAAAGATGATAATAATTTTGTAAACATGAGTTCAATTTATAAATTTTGAAATTTTTTTTAATCGTTTGTTTGAGGTAGCGGCGCGGTGTCAATGTGACATCACTGTGTTTTGATAGTTTTTTTCAAAAAATTATCACAAAAAACTGTGTTTTTCCACTGATCATAATTATATTTGGTGACAATTTTCTATTTGAAGTCTGATTTTTAAAAAAAAATAATATAATAAAAAATTATTTTTCAGCAGCTTCATATTTATTTTTTAAAATGTAAATCTACTCCTGAAATTTAATTTTAAACAGAATTAAAATCAATTTAATATTTAAAATTTTGAAACAAATTTAATTGAAAGTTAGAAACATGAAAAGGACCAATGTGTGGACAACCATATCACCTTTCAAAACTGCCTATATATAGACTCCCACAGCAACCAGACGCTTCCCAGCTCTAGATTTCAAGTCTCGGTTGCCCTGCTCGAGGCGCACTAGGATCGTAGACGCTTTCTTTCCGAACGCGCCAAAATGGTGATCGCAGGACTCTCTCTCTCTCTCTCTCTCTCTCTCTCTGTCCGTTTCTCCTCCTTAATCGAATCTTCGATTCAGGTTGTTGCTCAGCAAGTGAAGGAAGCTGAGATCACGGAGCAGGAATCCTTGCTGCTGGTAAGCTTCTTACGTATTTTCTCGCTTGGAATGTACATATTACTTGCTTCGAGATTTAGTGTAATTTCGTTTGTGTAATTGTTTGTCGTTTGGATTTGAGCCGAGCTCGCGCATTTAATGCTTTATGATGTCTGAGTTTATGGATTCACGAGCGAACGGGTGGATTTTGTCGCGTTCTTTGTCGAATAACCCACCTATTTTATACGATTTGATTGTTTTAATCATGCCATGAGAGCTGATTTGGGGGGAATTTAATTAAAAACAATGGTTATAGATTGTAGTTTATTACATTCGTTCTCCATTTCGTTCGATCTTATTCTAGTATAGTTAAAAATCTCATCGATGAACTTGGTTCATGCCTCATCCGAACCATTCTTCACTGATTTTCTCGATCTTATCAATGCTCTTCTGACAAATAGACTAGAAATCTACTTCGCATCGCAATCTTCAACATCAGCTATATACGAAGGTTGTTTCCTGAGAATTACTTCAATGACAACTCGGTTCCAGCCTTAGGTTTGTTTTTCTTCCTGCACTTCCTGCGTATTCTTGCTTGCTTCGATTTTTTTTTTTTTTCCTACGTCTATAGATTTCAGCTTGTATTTTGTTTTGTGTCTTCAGAGATGAAGATTAAGAAGCTCATGCCGTTGGACAGCGAATCCAGGAGAATGATCGACTGGATGGAGAAAGGTATGGACAACTAGTAAAGTGCGCTGTCATCAATGAATTTCGAACTTGTTCTAGAATGGTGTATTCTGGATTTATTTGTTCTTAGTTTTTACAAAATGTTAATTCGTCTTTCTGCCGATTTTTTCAGGTGTCTACGATGCGTTACAGAAAAAGTACCTGAGGACGCTATTATTTTGTATATGCGAGGATGTAGAAGGCCCTATGATAGAGGAATATTCTTGTGAGTCTAATTCACTAGTTTATTTTTTTATTGATGAGATTCTTTGCTATTTTGGACGTGCTCGATACCTATTTCTGCCTTGTCTTTCCATTAATATTTGTTTGATCTTAGTTGGTCTGCTGCATATCCATAAGTAGACCATCTTTTCCATGATGTCTTCTAGTTTTCTTATGGCTCTGTCTTTGCTTTGGTATTATAATAGATATGGCTTCATCCATGTTTGCATATTAGAATAGATATCATGGTGTTTCCCTCTTTGTATGATGACGTTATTTTTTTTAAGTACTCCTTGAATTACTTCTTTGAATTTAATCTTCTTATGCATAATAAACTTAAGCCTCAAGGATCAATCCTTGCAGTTTCTTTCAGTTATGTGGATTCCTGCAAAGAAGAGGTGTCCATGAACATAAGTCGCAATGGAAACAAAAAAAATGGGGCCACCTTCAGGACTACTAGCATGGATGTCACTCCTGATCAGATGAGGTATTTAAGATGGCCACTCTAATTGTCTTAAGCCCTATACCTGAATTAGGCTCTTAGTATATAAGTGTTTTTAGGAGCTCGGCTTGCAAGATGATTCGGACTCTAGTTCAATTGATGAGGACTCTTGACCACATGCCACCAGAGGTACAACTTGATACTTATTTTTCATGCATTATCAGTTTGACACTAATAAGTATATCTGAAAAAACTAAACAAATGTCTGCTTGATTTCTAGCGCACCATTCTAATGAAGCTTCTCTATTATGATGATATTACGGTAAGCATTATAATTTACTTTCATATGATGCAAGATAAGCCTTCTGCAGTTTTCTCTAGTGTGGCAATGCTCATTGTCTGAAAAATGCATTAAAATAATACTTATCAAGTGGCCACTTATGATTTATTATGTCTTCCTGCAATTAATAGAACTCATCTAACCATTTAGACTATCCCAATAAACAAGTAGTACCATGATGTTTTGCTATATTATATGAATCCCTTAGAACTACTGCTACTAAAAGCAGGACAGAACAGAATTGCAGAAGCAGAAATTAGAGGAGAATAAGACTAGAGACTGAACCTGGAGAGTATATCATACCATCAGTCTTTCATAACACAACTGTAATACATAGTTGTAGGTATATATAATGGAAATCAGAAAGTTCTAGATACATATCTCCCAGTAACCGAATTGGTTATGACATGGCGGAACCTTTTCCTTTAGGGACCACCTGGATTAATGATTGCAGAAGGTGGTGTAGTGTTGCTAAGAGCTATAACATCATATGTTTTTTATTCTTATGATGATAACATGCTGTCATGACAACCTATGCATTTTATTTTTCTGATGAAAACATAAAACTATTTATGGCCTAGCAGCCAAAAGACTACGAACCTCCCTTTTTTAGAAGCTGCGATGAAAATGAAGCCAAGAACATATGGACCAAAAATCCTTTATGAATGGCAGTTGGAAACGTCAACAGCAGGCATTTGGTATTAGCTCTCAAGGTCTGTAAGGAAAACTTGTTCATCGAAGTAAGATTAATATTTAGCTAGCTAAATCAAATGAATTTACTCCTGCAGGTGAAGAGCATCCTTGATCCTTGTGAGGATGACAATGAGGACCATCATGAGGACGAGGTGAACTTGGGAGCTGATTCTGATCAAAATCATTACTCATCTTCTGATAGTGAGGTACATTAATCAAAATTAAACTACAGTAGAATTACATGTTTTTTATTCTACTTGTCCTGATTTTTATGGTTGGGGCAGGTTAATATTTTTTGGAAAGGTTGTAATAGGTATTTTATGCTTTTAATTTGTATGCTTGACTTCTAGATATAAGAGTGTTCAAACATAGATCACAAAGCAGAAATCATAACCTTTAATTTGTATTCAAATTTTGGGTCCTGATTTGTATGCTTTTAGATATAAGAGTGATGCAAAAAATATATATAACATTGAGAGAATTTTTTCCTGTAATACAGTTTCAAGACTTGATGTTTTCCTTGAACTCTAAATTTGCTAACCTAGAAAACATCATTGTCTCTAAAAGTTGTGTTCCTCCTTAGATATGCCTGTGAAAGATTTCAAAACTAACTACTAATGTATTTTAGATCCACCCTTCTCTTGCTGACAAGTACTATGTGGCTCCTGCCGGTAATTCATTGACCCTGTTTAGTTTTTATATCAAGTTTATGTTATTGTAATATTGCTTTAAAAAGTTTTTTCAGCAGGTGAGAAATTTACAGGTGAAGATAATGGAATCAATTCTGATGGTGAGGCAGTTTTTGAAACATTATTTTTGAAATAAATACAATTAGTTGAATCAGTTAAATAAAAAAATGATTTCTAGTGTTAAAGGATACCATTCCTCTTCTTTTTTACTCCCTTTTTTAACTCCAAATGGGCTGCATTCTGCTTTCAGTTGTCAATTAGATGGCTTTTTAATAGCCATCCTATCTATTAAATTGGTACCTTTGATAAAGGAAGATATTCTCTCTTCTATTTATGCACATATACGTATATGCATATATTTATATATTCTAAATATTTCCTTATGGTTATAGCTGATACTCAAGATGCTGCACATGAAGGTGAATTGGTGAGTCAGGTGAAGGAATGGATTTATTCTAGACATATCAGCACTTTTGATCATGCTGACATTCTTTCCAATTTTCCAGATATCTCATTGGTAATTCTTTGGTTTGCATCTGCCTTTTATTTTGTGCTTTTCTCTTAGGGATGATTTTATTTGCGTTCCTAAAAGACCATATATTAACTCTAGGTTATTACCCTTAATTTGTTTGATAAACAAACTAAATAATTATTATATCTTTATAAGGTCCTGTAGACATAAGTATATCAAACTTCAACCTTAATGGCAATGGAAATTTTTGTAGGAAAATTTTATTTTACTTATTTGACCTTTAGTGAATGCATATATTTATTAATTGCAATAGTTTGATGATTCCATTTTGATGGTCTGCAGGCCCTGACTGAAGGTAATAGGAAAGAGTTCAACCACTTTTGCTAGTACATTTTTAAGATGATGGAACTACTATACTATCCTGCTCTTTTCTTCTTGATTCACGCATTTGAAATTAATATAAACCGTCAGTTATTGTGGAGAAGTTGCTAAAAGAAGGACTTTTATGTAAGACTGGCAAGGATTGTTACACCATCAAAAGAGAAAAGGTTATTATTATTATCATTATTATTTGTCTATTTATTTTCTCGCTCAACTCTTGCTCAAAACTCTTCTGACAAATCTTGTACCTTTAGGATATGTTTTCAAAAAATGATGAAGTGAAAGAAGAAGAAGAAGTGGAAATGCATGACACCCAAGAAAGGATGAATACCAATGTTGATGAGGACTACATGTACATGAAAGTAAGGATACATTAAGTCTTTTGATAGAGTGATTTGAATATAAGATGCTTTCTATTTTGTATTAGGTAATAAAAAGTTAACAAGTTAATATATTAATTAGTAAGGAATTAGTAGTCTTGTATTCTATAAATCGCTCCATTTTGAGCACAATGAGGAATGTAATGAAAATTTGATAAGCTTCTTTTCCTTTTACCACCTTCCTAATTTTTATAGTTGCCAACATCCTCAAATTGCCGTGCATCCTTCTCATCATGTGTTTCTCTTCTCTATTCCTCCCACGCCTAATTTTTGAAGAAAGGAGAAAAGCTCACCATTTTCATTACATTCCTCATTTTGCTTCAAATGGAGCTATTTATAGAATACAGGACTAATAGTTCCTTGCTAATTAATCTATTAACTAATTTATAAACTCTTAAAATCCTAATACAAGATATTAAGCATCTTATATTCTAATTACTCTATCATCTTTGTTGTTTTTCTCTAGTTGCTAGAGGTTTTGCATTCTTAGGACTAAATACAGCCAACTTGTCTGCAGGCTCTATATCATGCTCTTCCAATGAAATACGTGACGGTAGGGAAGCTTCAACAAAAGCTGACTGGAGAAGCCAACCAGAACGCAATAAGGAAATTAATGGACAGAATGGTTCAGGAAGGCTATATTAAGAACACAGGAAAGAAACGGCTTGGTGAGTAACTGAGTATTTTCTAGGGCAAGGTTCACAATGTGGTGCAAGAGGCTGTCCGGATTATTAAATCTGGATTTACGGGATTTACTGAATTCTAATAATTTAAATTTCATCTATTGCCATACCGAGTATTTTCTAGGGCAAGGTTCACAATGTGCTGCAAGAGGCTGTCCGGATTATTAATTCTGGATTTACGGGATTTACCGAATTCTAATAATTTAAATTTCATCTATTGCCATACAAAACCGAGGCAGATAATTTTTGCCATCCTTTTTTCTTTTCTTTTTATTTCACATAGAAGAGAAACCAGTTAGAAAAAAAAAGAGGCTGCCAGAAAAGAATAGAGAAGCCAATCACAAAAAGGAAAAGTTACAAACATACCACACAATTTTTTTGTATTTACATATCTAACTCCTAAGATTTGATATTTACCCTTGACACCGTGATGTCATTAACCTATGCATGGAATTATGTGTTTCACTTTTAAAAAGATTGTAATGGTGGTATTTTTGATGTGATGTTAAAAATTTGAGTGGTATGCTTGTTAAAAACAATGTTAGGTATTAGATATCTAAATAAAAAAGAATTATGTGGTATATATGTAAATGACCCCTTAAAAAAATACTGAGTTAATAACAGACGCATCATGTTCCTGTTTTGGTTGGTCATATACTGATAGCAATGCAATGATGTATTCTAAATCTCTTTAAACTTCTCTGGCTCGTTGTTGTAAATATGCTATTCTACAGCAACCATGATCTATGAATGAAATTCTTCACGCCTTAAAAGAAAAAAAATATGAGGATTTATTCTTCTGTTTCACGTGCCAATACTGCAATAAATTTTATTTCAAGCACAATTTCTTGCAGGGAAGCTTGTGGTTCAATCTGAAGCCAGATTCAAGAAGCTTGCCGAGGTCAAAGAATTACTAGACGGAAAACCGATGGTAAAAGTTCAATTTATTTTAGCCAAAAGTTAGCAATTTCGCTTAACAAAACCTCTTCTGATGCAGGAAATTGAAGTCATCGACCGACCATTCGGAAAACCGATGGTAAAAGTTCAATTTACTTTAGCTAAAGTTAGCAATTTCGCTTAACAAAACCCCTTCTGATGCAGGAAATTGAAGTCATCGACCGACC